CAGCATTAACTCTAATTAAAACGTATGAGTTATGATGTTAATCTCTTACATAAAGGGCGAGTCGTTTTTCGGTCTGTCTGTCTGTCTATCTTCTCGCACCGCATAAGAGGTCACCCCTAACACGATATATATTCTGAATCAGCATGACGCGACGACCATTTTAGGCGGGAAAAAATTAACAAAAAACAAAAACTAAAAAAAACTCAAATTAAAATGTAGAATAAGCTCAACTTAAATTGTGCAAATATTGTAAATTCGGTAGAATTCATACATTATTACAAATTTTGCTGAAGCCCACCCCAGCCTCAATAGGCATGATGTGTCTATAATACCTAGAATTTATAGAATTGTAACCCAAATCGTTCGCTCCATATCACAGTTAGTACACGTTCCTACCCGTCATAGCATAATAGCGGGAGTGGGCGGAGTCTTAAATACAAAAACTACAAAAATCTCAAATTACAATTAAAATTATTTATTATTTTCATAAATGTCCGTGCGGTCGCGCTATATACCCTCCTACAAATTCACTGGTCATCCATCGAGTGCATGTTGTTTGCATTTTTACCCCGGGCATCGCCGGCATTTTTACCCCGGGCATCGCAGCAGAAAAGTAAACAGCAATCCTATAGCACTCAACTATAGTCAGGCTCAAAATCAGGCAATCGCATGAAATGCCGAAACGCAAGCAATAGCACAAAACGCATGAAATAGCAGAAAAGCAGTAACCCCTAAAAAATCCCGGGGCATCGCCGGGTAGCCCAGCTAGTATCTTATACCCGGGGAATGTTCGTAGATGGGGAAAACCTCTGAAACCGTTACTCAACGAAAAATCCGTAAAAAAGCGTCAATTAATGAATCTTCACACAATGTCAGCACTGACTGTACAGTGCTGCCACACACAGAAAAATCGATTCCCTCACCTCATCCGGCTGCTCGTATTGTCAAACCCAAACCAATACTAAAACACACCACAACCAGCACCACTTTCACCAGTTCACAGCTACTACTAACTCAGCTCAGAGGTTCACTTCAGATGTTATGATCTCAGAATGCATTGTACCATTCGAAAACTATGCAGTTTGTGATTCACTAGGGAAATTTCTTCATTTCAATGTGCATGGTTGCGTGTCTCTATCTATACTATGAGCAGCTACTAATGAGAAATTTGTCATCATTACCTCCTCATACTATATTCCTTTTATTCATGCTACGATCTCACAATGGATAGGTCTACGTGGGGAGCTGAACAGTTGGAGACGCCAGGAATCTCTACATATTTCCACAAGAGAATAAGACGAAAAACATTCTTTATGAAGAGGCTTTCAAATGAAAAGTACAACCCATTCCTACATGCTCTTATAATAACTTTTTGTCATTTACACCATATTACTATTATGTCGAAGGGGTTGTAAGTTCGGTTGTGCTGTCAAATAAATGTGAAACGTAACAGTTTTTTCGTTTTTCCCACGCTTATTATGTTATTACACTCATTTCTAAATATTAATATTGTCTGCAATGTTATTGTCGATTTTTACCAAAGGTTCCTATTCTGCCCCATTATTATAGTACTATGAATTAGTAGCACGATTCACACACACGCACACACTCACGCATGCACACACACGCACGCACGGACGCACGCACGTGTACGTCAACGCGGACACACGCACGCACCTGTACGTGCACATGCATCGACGCACGCACGCACGGATGTCTACCTGCACACACACGCACGTACGCACACACGTGTATGTCGACAGACACGGATGCACGCACGCACGCATGCACGCACGTGTACGTCCACACACACGCACACACACACAAACCTGTACCTTCACACGCGCACGCATGCACGCATGTGTACGTCCACACGCACGCAACAACGCATGCACGCACCAACGTGTACGTGCGCATGAGCGCACGCACGCACATCTACCTGCACACACACGCACGTACACACGCACGTGTATATCCACAAACATGCACGCACGGACGCATGCAGGAAGGTTTACATGCACACGCACGCACGCACCAACGTCTACCTGCACACGTGCACACGCACGGATGCATGTGTACGTCCACACGCACGCACACGCGCGCACGTCCACAAGCACGTATGCACAAAGGTGTACGTGCGCACGGGCGCACGCACGGACGTCTATTTCCACACGCATACACACACTCATGCACGCACGTGTAAGTCCACACGCACGC